CATGTTCCTCCTCCGACCCCTTCTAGTCTCCACCCTCTCATATTCTAGCACCTCCCAACGAACATCCCCGTTCTCCTCCTTGACCTCTCACACCTCCAGGAGGAGAGCTGCGAGGCCAACCACCGCGATCGCGAGGGGAGCTCATGTTGCAGGCCCATCGCCGCTACCGCACGCAGCTGCAAGCTCGCCGCCGGTTCTACATGGCAACACTCAGTGTATCAAGGAGATGGACATTACGGCTGTTACATAATCTCATGGCTACTCCTTTACTTGGCGTAGTATCATACATGGGGAATATTTACTGAAGCATATGCACTAATCTGGTGCCTTGGTGATGGCTCTAGGATTAATATGTACCATGATAGTTGGATTCTGAGGGAGGGTCGTCCAACACCACTGGGCGCAACTTTCCAACCCCATACTACTAAGGTCGTTGATCTTCTCCATGATCATGGACGCGGACTGGGATGTGAATAAACTATACCAAAGTGTTCACTAAGAGTGACATACATGACATCAAGAAGACTCTGAATGGCGGAGAGGGTATGGAGGATTACAAAGCATGGAAATATATCAAGAATAGACAGTTCCCAGCACGATTTGCGTTTTTTTTTTAGAAAAGGAGGAATCACCCCCGGCCTCTGCATCCGGGTGATGCATGCGGCCATATTATTTATTATTCACAAAGACCTTACAAAGTAATACAACAGTAAGCCCGAGGCCACCATCTAGACGACACATGTCGCTACTCCTATCCCCTTGATGAAAGCGTGCCGAATGTCCGGGCCAAATACCAAACAGACATCGCACGAAAGCCTAACATCTAACGCCGGATGCCCCATCCAGGCCACATAGGCGGGACTGGGTAACACTCCGGTCCGGCACACTCTCAGTGAGTACCACACGCACACGCTGCAAAGGGCCGTCACCTCCATCTTCCCTCGATCCATCCTCAAAGCATGTACTGACGCATCAACCTTGTCAGGCCTCTCTGCCATCGACGCCACCACGGCGCCAGACAACGTCGACCTCCTGCGCGTGTCCCTCACCACACATCTGACGCCAAGCCTCCACTGCTCCATGCCGTCGAGAACCGCCGCCATGAATATGTAGAAAGAAACACCGCTCCACCGCAGCTGCCATCCGCTGGTCCCTCAAGCCCGAGTGCATATCCAAGAATGCCGCCCCCAAGGGGGTAACGACATATGAAGATGTCTCTACGAGATGCAACTAGAGCAAGGGCGAGCAACTTGTCTTCTGTTGCTTCACATAGAAGCTGGCTGGCATCTGGGATTTGGATATGGCTCAACAAAGTTAAAGTTCATACATTGCGGGTGGTGAACAATTGGCTGGTTGTTGGGAATGAACTTCCCTATAGACAGATCAAACCCTGTATCTTCTGTGTGGGCTGCGGACGCGATGCAACAATCATCCATCGTTTCTCGCGGTGTCCTCATTCACTAGCTCTTCTGGAAGCTACTTTGTAGCGTGCGCACCCCTTCCTCAACTTCCAGCAGAAATAGACGACTACGGCCAATTCCGTTGCTGGATGATGGAATGGATGGACCAAGCAGGCAATGAGGAGAATAAGGTGATGCTCAGAGGCTTATATGAGTTACTGGATTTGACTACTACTCCCTTCGTCCCAAAATAAGTTCTTGAGACACTTATTTTGGGATGGAGGGGTATGAAGGATAGGGGGCTGCATCTCTTGGAGGAGTTGAAATGTATTCACGAGTATGCTGGTGGTCCAGGCAAACAGACGACCATCACTCGCAGGAGCCGACCAGAGGAGAGTTGGGTAAAAGCAAATGTGTATGGTACCATGTCGAATGGCCTTGATTTTGAGGAGGTGGAGCGATACCAAGGGACCATAATGGAGGTTTTTTGGCGGCTACCTACCATTTTTATCCTCCATCAATGACCCTGAGTTAGCAAAGATCATGGCGCGCCAATGTGCTATTCAGCTGGTAAAGGAGGTTGGTGTCCAGAAGGTGATCTCAAAGTCTGATTCTCAAAATGATGTCCGCAAGACCAACAGAAGGGCTAAGGATCTACCATCACATGGTACAATTGTCAAGGAGGTGAAGGGTATTCTCCAATCCTTTGAGGATTTTAGCATTGCATGGGCCCGACGCTCGGCGAATAAAGTCGCACACATGAACTAGCTAGGGAAGGTGGCGGAAACAACCTTTGTAAAACTTGGTTTCGGGTACCACTGGCATGTGTTAGCCCGATGCTGGCCTCGGAGTGTACCATCATACTTTAACAAAACTTCAGCAAATTCCAACCCAGAAGAAGAAAGTTCTGTGTTTTGCGTGTTAGTGACGAGAATTTTGTTTGGTAACCGCCATTTTTGACTGCTTATCAGTTTATTGAAATCGACATGTTATTTTTAAGAAAACTAAAAGCCGTGAGTAGTACTGCCTTCACAATACATGCATGCCCCACCGCTTCTTTGACCCCGGCCAGCCATTCCTCCCTTCTGCCCCCTTCAACATGAATAACCACGCGGGCTGCCTCTGGCATGAGCAGTGGCACCCGTCGCTCCTGCGATGATTCCCCTAGAAGTTGCTGCTCCAGCGCGGGGAACAGCTGCTGGTGGACGACGGCAAGGAGGGTGTGTGTAGATGATGACATGTGGGCCCTACTCGACATGACGGTCCACTCTAACAATGTGAATATTGGGTTCCACGTCATCATTTACAATGGGCTCTATTTGTCAGATTTCATGTCAAAACGCGGTCGATCCTTGTTTTAGTGTTCTCGACATCATATTATTCATAGTCGGTGTTTTTCACAATTTTTTGTGAGACCGGTGGTTCTTTTTTTGCGCTATGTGACGCAATTGTGATGTTTTTTTAGCGATTTACTCCGGTTTTGATGTTGTCCAGAGGCTGGTTGCAAGAAAGAGTCGTGGGTACAAACGTCGACCCGAGACCGACTGTGGCGGGCCCCACCGCGTTCGTCGTTCCACCCCGGCCAGCCCTCCTCCCCCGCGGCCCCTTCTGTCGCCGGCGGCGAGGGGAGACCAGCCAGCAAGCCAGCGAGATGACGGTGGCGGCGGGGGCGGGCTACGCGCTCATCGCGCTGGGCCCCGCCTTCTCCCTCTTCGCCGGCGTCATCGCCCGGAAGCCCTTCCTCGTCCTCACCCTCCTCTCCAGGTCCCTTGCTCCCCTCTCCCCCCACCCTCCCCATCTGTTGCGTTTGCTTCCGTCGAATCCCGGGGCTGCCACGGGCCATGGGGCTCAGATTCCTGGGGCCGTGGGGGCTTCTGGATTCGGCCCCTCCTCGTGCTAGGGTTAGCTTGGTCTGGTGCTTGCGGCTTCGCGAGATCCGTCCTAGTCTGCCGGTAGTTCTAGACAAGTCTTAGTTTCATGGCGAGGAGGGATTGGAACTACTCTTGGTGCGTGCGTGCGCAGACGGTGGATCTGGTTGGGTTGGACTGAGGCATTGTTATCCTGAAAGTGTTGTTCATACTGCCTGATTCTCATCCTCATATCCATGCCCTGTGTCTGTTGGTATGCTAGTGCTCTATGTCGTTTGGACCTCACTCCCTAGTTCAGAAACTGCAGGAGATTTAGGAAGCGATGATCGGCCTTTTTAGATATGGTGTAGGCTGTGTGAACTGTACATCATGATAAATGGTCCTGGATAAAATCCTTCAAAAAAGAGTACCAGATGATTTTCTAGTCGAAGCGAAATTCAATCGCTTTCTAACTGTGCCTCCGTGGGGACTGAATCCATGTGTTCTTCGGTGGGAATGAAGCGCTAGAGATTTTTTGAGCGATCTGTTCCATCGTGTATGGCTATGGGCCTATGAGCGTATCGGTTATATTGGATATCACCACTAATATGGACAGGAGGATGACTTTGTGCTGCAACTGGCATCATTGTTTCAATTCCTGTGTGAACCATGTGTGTTTGTCTTCCAAAAATATGCAGATCATGCAGAAATAGCGGCCTACTGCCACCTTTTAAAAATATTAACCCGGCCATCTGCAATTGATTCACGTTATTTCGTTGTGCCCTTCGTTTTTAGATGTAGAATACACAAAGACTCGGTACATGCTGGTGTTGCGAGCTGGTTAACATTCTTCTTCACTGAGAAACCCAAGGCTATGTCTGTGATATACAGTTTTTTATTTATTTTTAACTTTTGAACTGCTTGGTATGACACGATGACATAATCCAAGCATATCAATGGCCTTTCTAGAATGGAAATATGCATTGCAACCTATGGAAATACAGTATCATGATGTGAATATTAACTTTTGCCAAAAATTTATTTGTGCAGCACGTTGTTTTGGCTTATAAGCTTGATCGTCCTCTCGGGAATATGGAGGGGGTTTCTTCCTCTAAAATCAGGAGTGTGGTGGCCATATGTGATTCTGATCCTTACATCTGTTGCTTTTCAAGAAGGCATCCGTCTTGTCTTCTGGAGGCTTTACAAGTAGGTGGACCATATAAAATGTTGAAGTTATCTCTCAACTTATCTTCTCATGGCGCCGGATGCTGTAGATATAGAATATGTAGTTGATTGCTTTCCTGGTGATATATGCTGATAACTGTTTTTCCCAGGAAAATGGAAGAGATGCTAGATGCCTTTGCTGACAGAATATCTAAACCACGTCTCTGTTTGACAGACAAGATGCTAATCTCTTTGGGTAAGTTGTTGTGGTGCTACATAAAAATGTTCTTTGGTCAAGGAAGGCCAGATGCTTCTTTATCTGTCATTTTACATAAAATCTTTATCTACCGCTGGCTAGTGTTTATCCCAGGATTTGAATTGGAAATAGACACCTGCAGTTACCGCTACCATATTTTTGTTTCTTCATATGAATTGTGTTCATATTATAGTTGGGGGATTTTCTGGTGATTGTTATTCATTCCAACTCTAGCAATAGGTACTCACATAGGCTAATAATTTCTGTAGTCATGTTAGAGCGAATCACAGCTTATATATGGCTCTCCATAATTTGATCCGGAAATACAGACCACATTGGTAACTCGAGTGAATCCAATCCAAGGATGTGCATTCAATTATTGCTTGCTGGGAGCATCTGTTCTTCATTACCTTGAGGATGTCACAAGTTACAACTGCTATTGTTTGCTCATTTCTATTTTGATATGTTGGTGTAGCTGGTGGTTTAGGTCATGGACTGGCTCATGCGGTCTTTTTCTGCCTCAGCCTCCTAACTCCAGCATTTGGTCAAGCAACGTTTTATGTCGAGAGGTGCTCAAGGATGCCATTTTTCCTTGTGTCGGGTAAGTCCACATTTTCTGTACTCCCTAATATGAGTCCTCAAGGAGGTAAAGGAGCCTTCTGATTAGATGGCTGCTGAACAAAGTCTTTAAGCCAACTCTGTTAGTTTTAGCGCAGTTTATGTTATCCTGTCAGCATAGTTTGTTTCTCCAAGATCCCGGTTGTATTGTATGCCAAACTTTATTTCCCTGGTGTTGTTTTCCTTGGCTAAACCCTCTGTGCTATTGGCAGCAATTATTGCACTTGGATTCTTGGTCATCCATACTTCCTCGATGATCATTGCTTTTAATGGATATGGAGAGAGAAAGAAGAGGGACCAAATCTTTGCCCCAGTGGTTCACCTGATTGCTGCTGTAATGGTAAGAACTAGGAGTAGGTCTTAAAATTGTTTTTTATCATAGCAAGTGCCTCCCTGTCCCTTAACAACGGGCCTGACAATGCTTGAACAGATTTATGTTCATTAACAGACGACCGAATAGTTGAAACATTTTCATATTTACACTATTACGTTGTTGAGACACGGCGGACAGTAAAATCTTTTTTCTATTCCAACCAAGTACTTATGTTTTCAAGTAGCATATGGCACGACATGTAAAAGCTGGTACCAGAACCTGTTGCTTTTTACACAGCAAAAGTGCATGATTCAAACTATGCCGTATGCACCACTGATTTTGCAAATCTGTTCATTTCAGACACTGATCAACCTTGTGCCAGGGGGTTGCCTCGTCGGCACACCTTTGCTGTGCGTGACGGCTGCGGTGACCTTGTACTACTCCTGGCAAGTGGTGGGGCAGAGAATAACAGAGCACCAACGTCGACAGTCTTAACAGCTAGTAGCGCTTTGCCTTGTGCCCGTCCCATCGCATGGAGTTTCCCTGTTTGCTAATCTTTGTACTAGGACAAGCTGTAATGTAGATTTAGCGGTTTCGCCACTAGTGGACTCATCACCGTATGAAAGCCCATGCGGCCGTGAGATATTGACTCCCTTATGAAGTCATGATGGGTTGTATATGGTACTCAATGAGATGTTTTCAGTGCTATCTGGTTAGGCAAGAGATTGCCGTCAGATTGGTGCTCGGTTCAATTAAATACTACTGCTAGTTAGTAATCTATATCTCTTCATCATCCCAAAAAAGCACTATTAATTCGTTAACATCTCCAGTTCATGAATAGCGCGTATGTTTTGTGGTGTTTTTCATTTTTTTAGGTTGTCCCTGTGCTTGGTCATGACTGAGTGACCCATTCACAGCTATCTATAATTTCTCTTCGTTTCTGTGCTTGAACATAAACAAAAGTGCTCATCTTATTTAGTTCATGTGTGTTTTGTACCTCAAACCCTTCCTGTAACGATTTTCCAAACACTTACATGTACTCTCTGTTTCCAAATATATCTCTCTTTAGAGATTTCAACATGGACTACATATGGATGTATATAGACATATTTTAGAGTGTCGATTCACTCATTTTGCTCTGTAAGTAGTCCATATTAGAATCTCTAAAAAGACTTGTATGTAGAAACGGAGTACTTGGCTAGCCAACCACATTTTCTTCTGGGAAGGATGCTGTGATAGAGATTACATCTTTGGAACCATACCAACATCAAAGATTACATTTTCCAACCAGCGTACTTTCAAGGGAGAAAGTAGGTGTCTAACCCCATAATCGCGCTTCAAAATTACGGGTCAATGCTAGCAACATGGGATATCAGGTTCAAAACACAAGCTGCTACAACAATCAAACATTGCAGATGATCGCAACAACACAAAGTGTCAACATCTGAATTTGCATGGAAACGAGGCATCGCCTCCAGAAAAACAAATCAAACGGTGACGGTGTTCCTTTTGTTGAATATATTATTCGAGTCAAGTGGAACAAACTTCCTGTTACAACCAAATTTGACCTGATGCAGCAGCCCAGCATAGCTCAGACAGGACATCGACGACAAAATCGATCGATTAGATGAAACGCTGGCCATCTCAGTTCATTATGTCGGGCTTATCATGGTATATGGACTCCAGACATTCTTTGGCCCGGTGGACTTTCGACTGGAGATAGAAGCTTCCGCTCTTGGCGTTCTTCTCAAACATCGTGTCGTACTTCTGCAAAATATTAGAAGGGGGAAATCTGGGCATCAGTTTGTGTGTCTAAAGCAAATGGATATACATGAGAATATCACAATCATAACTATGAGATGTTGATTCAGCGCAATAAAATGACTGTGTACATGATGTTGGCATTGTTCAATATTCCTGCAATTTAACTTCAGTATTACGCTGAAGCAAACTATCGTATATGTACTCTGATAATCTTAATTTGATGAAACAAACCCATGGAGAGAAAACCTTAGTTCATGTGAATATCATGACAGGTGCTAGCAGATATAAAAGGAGCAGGCTTATATTACCACAATCATAATTATGGGATGACACAGAGCAATAATAAAATGACAGTGTAAATGATGTTGACATTGTTCAACACTCCTGCAATCTAACATCAGCTTTAAGCTGAGGCAAAGTTGTTATGTGCTTTGAAACTCTTAATAATTTCATGAAAACAAACACATGGAGGAAAAACCTTAATTCATGTGAATATCATATGACAGGTGCTATAGTAAGATGTATCAAAAGAGTAGGCTTCTATCATCACACACCTTTACGATCTCTTCCCAACTCGTTTTTTCACTGATACCTAATATTTGCCGGGCTTCTTGCTCGGTCATAGCCTTGCTAGCCCTTCGAATACCATTCACAGCTTCCTGAGCAGCTCCGGTTCTTTGTGCATCTATAAGACAAATCAGGAATTATTAGTTACATCCAGAAAACCACATGTTGCTCAGGCAAATAGTCAGGCAGATGTCTCAATGTATCTAATAAGCAACCAAAGGAAGAACCAATCTCGAAATCAGCTTTATAACCACATCAGAACAGTGTCCTGTGCAGGATATGGTCAATAATACAGCCCATATCTGTGTTCACCAAAATTGCCAATAAGATCCTAAACCTAAACTGCTGAATTGTCATAGGCAAGCAAATAAGGGCCCTGATCTAAAGGCTTGGGATTTGTCTGGAATGCACGAAGCTGACGACAACTGTTGAGAAATTTCACAAGAAACAGTTCCAAACAGGGTCTGATGGAGCAAACACGGGCCGGGGTTTTGATTCATTTAATGAAATGATTATTCATGCTGCTAAATGGATTCCCTGTGCACATCCTTCAATCAGTACTAATTGGTAAGTATACATGACAAGAACAAACACAAGTAAAGTCGAAGGTAACACATGATTACAAAATAGCAACCATTTTTTTATAGTGCAGCATTCCAGATTGCATACTATGTCTAAAACAAATCCCATCACCGCCATTTCACCACCACTCGGTTTCGGACAGCAAGGAACACCACAACATGTTTATAAAAGGGGTAAAAGACGCATCTTTTGGCATCGACGCTGTGAGCCAGATATCCAGTCATCTAGGAAGAGCTGCAAAATTCCTCCCGCTACAGCTATCCTATTCCTACCCAACAACGAGCGGCAGAAAAAATACAGTACCACCGTGGATTTCATTCATTCACATTGTCTGGGGCAAAGGAAGGGAAGCAGGCAACAAGTATTTTTGCAGAGGGGGAGGGGGAGATGGAGAGGGGGCACTCACTGACGATGGCCTGGCGGTAGGCCTGGACCACGGCCCTGCCGACGACGGCGCCGCCCATGACGAGGAGCTGCCCGAGGAGCCGTCCGGCCTGCGGAATCACCCATCAGCAGCGGAGAGAATCAGCCACGCCGACGCGGTTAGGGACCAAATCGAGAGAAGGATCGAAAGTCCAGCGAGCGCACGTACCATCTCGCCCTGGTTCCGCTCCTCCCCTCCTCTCCGGCGGCGGCGGAAACCCTAGGCGGGCGGGCGCGGTTCTCGCGGGAGACGCGGGGCCCGTGAGGGGGCGGGGGCCGCGAGGGTGAGCCTGCTGGGTGGAGAGAGGGGCTTGACGCCGGCGGCGGCGGTGACGGCGGCGGCGGCGAATCGCTCGCTGGCTGGCCGGTGGCGGAGACGGATTTGGCGTTGGCGAGTTGTGAGGGGGAGGCTGCGCCGAGTCCGGGCTCTTTGTGCGTTTGGGTCTGGGTTTCCGTCTTGGGAAGGAAGAAAGAAAGTCGTGGTGGTGGTGGGCCTTGCCTTGGAGTGGGACGTCGTCCAATGTTACTGGGCCTGCGACAAGTTGAGAGCTCATCCAACTGGTTTTCCAAAGAAAAGAAAAAAGTTCACGCACAAACGCTCACAACGCGCACGCGCGCGCACCTACCTCTACTAGAAGAACGCCCGTGCGTTGCAACGGGGCCACATTAACTTTAAGAGTTCAATATTAATATTCTCATACATATAAATCCTTCTTCTCCTTCCGTCTGCCACCGAGACAGGGACCTAGACTTTGTGCTGCTCTTATTGATTTCAAATCCAGACGAGATGGGGTGGTGGGAGGGGGGACGAAAAAACCCAGACGAAACAAAGGAGAAGGAGAGCCTCATCAGTAGCATCATGGTGAATTTTAAACCTAGCGTTGTGCTCCGCCCAACGAACATGGACGCCGCCGCCGGCGGCCCGGTGGAGCTCGAACCCGAGAGACTCTGCTGCTTGCTGGGAGGGGTCGGGGAGGGTCGGAGCACATGAGCATTGACGTGAAGACAGAGTAGGCCGGGGAGATTACTGTGCACGCCGCACAGCGACTTGGACCTCGGAGGGCCTTAGCTCTGTCAGGAGGAGGTCCCGAGTTCCTGCCGAGGACAGCCTGACGGGGGAGACGCACGGCCGCTCGCGCTGCCCGCAACGCGACCACGCCCTGCCCTAGGGTTCTGCGACGGCGGCAGCGTCGTCCACAGCCACACCCTCTCTGAGTCCTGCCCTGAACTGGGGTTCCGAGGCAGGGGGACGTGCGAGGTGAGTGTTTTTTTCACCGGTTTATGTTGTGTTGCCTGCACGGATATATAGGAGAACAAATAGGTGGATTATAATTCCTTCCATTGTATAAGTGCTGGGAAAGGAAGCGAGGGACAAAAATCAATCGAGGGGCCTTTAAGAGTAGCGATTAGTTAATTGGATTTTTCTTTAAAGTCTATTATTTGTTTTCTTAAAATTTATTATATGTTTCCTAAATCAAATTGCATTGATGGGATGGATCGATTGATTTGGATAGTCTATTATTTGTTTCCTTCACATCCATTATATGTTTCCTAAAGCAAATTGCATTGATGAGATGGATCGTTTGATTTGGATGGATCGATTGATTTGTTTCCTTAAAATTGGATTTTTTTTAAAGTCTGTTATTTGTTTCCTTAAAATTTATTATATATTTCCTAAATCAAATTGCATTGATGGGATGGATCGATTGATTTAGATAGTCTATTATTTGTTTCCTTCACATCCATTATATGTTTCCTAAAGCAAATTGCATTGATGAGATGGATCGTTTGATTTGGATGGATCGATTGATTTGTTTCCTTAAAATTGGATTTTTCTTTAAAGTCTATTATTTGTTTCCTTAAAATTTATTATATGTTTCCTAAATCAAATTGCATTGATGGGAGGGTGACGCATGGAAAGTTATGATCCGTTAAGATTTTTTTCGTTGTGTGAGAGGTGACGCGAAACTAAACCGGTGGGGTAGGGGAGGGACGAAAAAAACCAGCGAAATGAAACGGGTGGGAGGTGGGAGGAAGTACCAAAGAAGTACCAAAAAAAACCGGGTGAGGTGGGACGAAAAAAAACCTGGAAGCGAGACTACCAACTGCTTCATTAGAAGTAGAGATGAACACATGCACACACGCATGCCGTCTCTGCG